GCCAGCCGGCACAGCGGTTCCATAGAGGATCGGCTCCGCAGGACAGACGGCAACATGGCCAAGTCGTTCGGGATGGCGTCGTGGCTGAGGTCGGTCATGCCAGCGCGTCCAAAACCACTAGAACCCTAAGACGGCATAAACAGCCTCGGGCCGATCATGATCTCGGGGTCGTCGCTGCATCGATCCAGGATGAGCCGGGCGATACGATGGCCCTGCTCGACCACTTGGGCCCGCTGGGCGTTGCGCGCGATGACCTTGATCTCACCGGAAGTCTGGGTCCACCACGCCGCTGGCGATGTCGATGCTCTCGAGCGCGAGACTTCAGCGCGGGGCATTGCGCGCGCATGTGCCCCGTGGCGCTAGCGCTGCGACGCCAGTAGGTCAGTAGGTACCAGCTCCAGGCCACGGGTCGGAGTACTGGCGTCGGACCTGAAACGCAGGTCGTAGCTAGCGGGGCGGCCAGTGGTGCTTCGCGTCGGGGCTCTCGCATTCGGATCGAGAAATGGACCTTGAATTTTCCCCCGTCGGCGTCGCGATGATCCTGCCTGTCGTTGTCCACCGCCGGAAATGTGACGCGGCAGGTTCCCAGACGGCGGCTGCAGTTCGCGGACGTAGTCAACTGGGATGCAAAGGTGCCCACTCAGAGCGGTCGCCATGTCGAAGTGGACCATTCCTGCGCCCCAGGTGATATCGTAACCGACCGGCCGGGTGAAGGTGAGGCGTTCGCGGCCAACGCTTGTCTGCACCACCCCGCTGCTGGCGCGCAAGGACGGCAGGCCTAACAAGGCAGGGAGAGCGCCACCTGCGCCCCCCGCGGCAGGAGCGCGCACGCTGTGCCGAGTGGTCGCATCATCGCGAGATTTTGCGGCGATGGGGCAATGGATCTCCCTGCTCGCCACCTGTGAACCGTTGCCCACTCCTGCCACATACAGCGGAGCAGACAACCTCTCCCACGAGGGTCGGAGCTTCGCCCGCATTGCTGGCCAGGCCAAGTTCAAGGTGAATCGCGCGCCCTGGAGGTTGGCCCAGGCGCCAGCGTCGACGATAACACCTAACTGGCCGCCTGAAAGTGATCCACTTGCCAGGTAGAACGGCAAATCGCCCTGGGAGCTGGAGCCTGCGCCTGACGAAGTCGGTCACCACGGAAGCGCAGGCCCGAATCATGTAGGCCTGCGCGGAGGCACGCGCAAGTCCAGGCGCGCGCCATAAGGAACTGGCGCATCAACCGCAGACGAGAAAGTGGAAGCACTGGAAACACTACCAACAATACATGGGATGATCTTGCGGCGGTGTCCCGGGCGCCGGAGCTTGAGGAGGAGAAGGTGCTGCGTCCTGCTGCGGCGGCTCCTCCGAAGGATATCTCCCGCTGCCGCCCAGCAACGCAGTTGCCAGACCCTCGTGAACACGATATGCCCCAATGGAGCGGAAGTCGGCGACGACGTCGGCTGGTCCAAGGCGCCCCGGGGAATGAACCACGCTGGCGTCGCCGTTCTGTAGGAGATGCACGCGGGCGAAAGCCTCGAGACAGATGGGGCACCCCCGATCGTCACCACTGGAAGTCGCAACTATGGGAGGTGCCGCCGGCGCCGCAGACGGCCCACCATTGGAAATCGTGACACTGGGAGGTGATGATTGCGCTGAAGCCAGCGCCGGAGTCGTCGGCGTCTCTCCCCAACCCCGCGCGGCTTGGCGCTGCTGGTCTGCCTGCTGCCGTAGCAGCTCCGGCGCTAGCTATGCGCTGACGAGCTCGTCGAGGCGTCGTCGCTGAGTGTGGTCGAGAGTGGATTTCGCGCTGCGATCGGTCCGATTGCCACTACTGCGGCGGCCACGCGGAGCTCGATCCGCACGGCGCGCCGATGCCGAGCGAAGCCGCTGATGTCAGATAGGCCCCACTTAGCAGGTGCACGCCGGCGGCAGACGGCATGGGGGCCGCGGCCTGAGCGTGGAGGCCGACGACCAATTGCGCCCTTTGTCCCGTCCAAGTGGGAATGCGCCGACAGATCGTGTCCACGGCGGTAGCGCTGGCAGCGCCGCTGGACATGTCGGCGCAGTCGGCGCGGGCGGCGCTGGGCCCCCCGCTGCTGCCGAGTGGGATTGCAGCGCGGTTGCGCCACCCGCTCAGGCGCTGCTGATGCTGGCGCAGGCTGTCCGCCCCGCTGGGATCAACGCTCTGCATGGGATCACACGCGCCCGAGCCTGCAAACGCAGTCTGCCCATGGCTGCCAGAACCCTGACCACCCAAAGCGAATGTGCGCTCGTCAGGGGGCGCTGCTGCTCAGCCATGCTCGGCGGCCCTTGCTGCCCCAGAGATGACGGCGGGGTGGGTGCTGGAGGGGCCAGGGCGAAGGCGCCGAGGATGGGGGCGCGCCCCTGGCTACGGCGCTGGGGGCAGTCGTCCACGAGGTGCCCCGCTGAGTCACACTCGTGGCACTTGAGCCGCGCCTCGCCAGGGCCCCCAGGGTTGCCGTAGCGGCCCAAACCCACGCCGCCGGTCCAGAATCTCCCTGCGCCCTCGCCTTCGCCCTTCTCGAAACCAGCGAATGCCTCCCGGAGGTCATTCTCGGACAGGTCGGCCAGGGAGGTTCGGCGGGCCTTGCCGCCCCTCCTCTCGACGACTCCCTGGGCGCGACGCGCGGGCTTGCGGCGGTCGAAGCGTCGCCATCGTGCATTGGCGCGCTCGTAAGCCAGAACAAGTATGCGCCAACCTGCTCGACGCGAAAATCGCATAGCTCGGGGTCGTCGGCGGGCAGCCCCCCTTCGCCGAATGAGCTGACGGCGTCGGCGTCGGCGCCTGAGTCGACGGCAGCTGCCGGGGCTGCCTACTGCGCCGGCGGCGGCGGCGCAGGCGGGCTCGGCGCCACCCCCAGTATGACCCAGAACTCCCCAGCTCGATCTGGCTGTAGCGCCGTAGGCACTCTGCGCCTGATCCTGCGCGATCACGCGCCCAAAGCGTCGCAGCTCGCTCGTCGCACGCGGGAGTTGTGCTGCGTTGGTCGGGCAGGCCACGTCGCCGCGCCGCATGGCCATGGTCAGTCGCAAGCTTGAAACGCCCACCGCGCGCGAGAGGAGGAAGCTGAGACCCTCGCAGCCGATCATGAAATCACCAGATCGCCGGGCGCGGTTGCGGAAAATGCAAAAAAAATGCGAGGAGGCTGCCGATGGGTTTCTGCGGCAGTCGATTGAAGTTCATAAGTGCTGAGACTGCCGAGGTTCGCTTTTCCTCGCCCAGTTGGCCCCGACGTTCGGCAAAACTGCGCATCAGCAACATCGGTGTCACTGGATTGCCGTTGATGGCACATTCCAGGATGAGAACAGCTGACGGCCACTCGCCCACGCACTCTCGGGCCGTGCCGGTGAGCCGCGATGAGACGCAGGCCGCCCGGCGAAATCGAGGTCGGAGTTCGCCACTGCCCCTATCATGACCTCCCGCGCCCAACGTTGGCAAGGAACCCGTGGACGATGCTCGGGCCCCCACGCGCGGAGGCGACGCATACTGCTCGCCGCCCCCTGCGCCCGCGCAGGTGAGGCAGCATACCAGGGCGAGCACTCCCACTCCGATGGCCTTCCACCCGGAGCATATCCCCCTCCATAGCTCAAAGAGGCGTTTGTTGCCGGGGGCCCAGAGACGGCCTTGCTCTGACCACGAGCCTCGGAGCCGGCGCGGGCCCTTGCCTCGGAGCTGTCGCGGGTCATCGTCCTCGGAGCCAGCGCGTTAGATATTGCCTTCTATCGCGTCGTCACAGCATCCTCACACCCAGGGGCACTTCGCAACGCAGTTGCGCTTAGTGTGACCCTCCTGCGTCATGTCGTCACTGCAGTGGGGACCGCCAACTTCACGATCGCCCAGAATTGTGCGCACCAGAATCTCTTCCTGCTAGCCTGGAAAGAATCGGTGGGTGCACTGAGCCGTCGAATGCCAAGAAAACGTAAACAGGCAATGCCAGGCCTGCTGCACTGCTCCTTGGAAGTCTGAAAACACAGTTGCTCTACACTCCACCTCGTTATCCCTCTTATAATGGCTGTTTGATCCGCCTGCGGCTCTCAGGGCGCTCGCAACGCTGATGCGGGACGCGCGGGACCACGGGCCGACGCTGTTGATGAGAACTGGTCCATATTTTCGGCGTGAGGTAGGATGGGCCCCGAGAGGGACTCCAACACAGCTGGGACTCCCCAGAGAGAGGCAAGCTGCGGCAGCGGCGGGTGGGCGCCGCGCTCCCTGTAGGTCATGGCGTCGCGTTTGTACAAGTATTTGTCCTGGTTGTACGTGTTAGCGCACATGAAGATCACGAATACGGATGGCATGGTGGTCTGGAAGAGGAGCATTGCCGAACATGACATCCAGGACGGGGTGGAGGTAGTCGCTCAAAAACTAGCGGAGGTGCCACGCGAGCCATGGCGGTGGGAAAACTGTCGGTTGTGGAAGGAAGCCGGCGCTCCGCTATCAACTATGATTGCGGCAGTGGTGGTACCAGATGGATGCGACCTTAATACGGGGCACGGGAGCGTTGCAGGCTCTCGTACCCAGAACTAAATGGCAATGGCAAAGGGAGACAAACAAGGCAAGCAGAGAGCAGGGATGGGTAATTAGCATACATCTTGTTCGAATCAGAGAAGGAGTAGGAGTAGGAGCAGGAGGACGAGGAGGAGGAGGATGAGGAGGAAGGAGGAGCGAGGAGGAACGAGGAGAAGCGAGGAGGAGCAAGGAGGAGAAGCGAAGCGGAGCCAGGAAAAGCGAGGAGGAGGAGGAGGAGCAGGAGCAGGAGGAGGAAGTCAGGACGAGGAGGAGCGAGGGGGAGCGAGGAGGAGCGAGGGGGAGGGAGGGGGAGCGAGGAGGAGCGAGGTGGAGCGAGGAGGAGGAGGAGAAGAGGATGAGGAGGAGGAGGAGGAGGAGGAGGAGAAGGAGGAGAGGGAGGAGGAGCGAGGAGGAGGAGGATAAGCGAGGAGGAGGAGGAGGAGGAGGAGGAGGAGGTTCTCGCCCGCGGCGCGAGCAGGGGCGCCGCCTTCAGGAACCTCTGCTTGGCGGTGACGCCAGGGTCCCTGGGCGCAAACGTCTTCGGGGCGGCCTTCAGGTCCTTTCGGGGGAGAGCGAGCGAGCCAGATCTTGCCCTCGATCCTCGAGGGTCGAGGGGAGAGGTCTCCAAGGGGCGGCCAGGGGCCCCTCCCGGCCTCCCGTTTTTTTGTTTTGGGTGGGGGAGGGGGAGGGCCCCACGTTCGGCAGGGAACGCCTGTGCGCGCGGGGCCCAGAGGACTCCAGGGGCTCCAAAACTGAGCGAAAAGCTGGGGTTGCCTTGGGCCAGCGGCACATTTAGCAACCCCCGATCTTTGGGGGAGTGCCCCGGTTCTCTGGTGGAGGGGGACGGCCTCGGTGCTTTGGGAGGGGGGCCCAAGCCTCCCCGTTCTTTTTGCGGGAGCGCCTGATGAGTGCCTCAAGCGCCCGGGAACGCCATGGGAGCGCCCATAGGAGCGCCCAGGAACGCCCGGAACTTTTCGGGCTGCTATGGTTAGCATGGGGAGCACGGGTCCTCAAGGAAACGAGTCCTGGAACCCTGGGGCCTTTCCCCAGGAAGAGCCCGTCATCCTGAATCGTTTTCTGACAGTCCCCGAGTCTGTGGAGGGCCCCGAGAGCCCGAAATCGGCGAAACACCTCAGGAGCCGTTTCCCTCAGGATCCGTTTCCCCATGGCGATGTGGAGCGTCTGGCGCTGGAGACACGCCAGGCAGCATGCACCAAGAGCGCATCAAGTCCACCAGTCGCTGCGGTCCTTCTCGACGTGGGTGCCCCACATCTCCTCCGTCGTGAGGTCCCTGGAGGGCGGGCGCGCGGCGGGAGGTCGGGGTACTGTGGAGGGAGGGAAGGTCAAGAGGACGAGCAGGCCTCGATCGAGGATCGGGGGCAGAGATTTGTGGACGTCGTCGGCCCTTCTCTTGGAGGCCCTCGGAGACCTCTGGAGGCCTCCGGGGGGCCCAGGGACTTCCAGGCAGAGGGCCTGCGCGGTGGGAGCCCTGGAGCCCTGGAGGGCGGGCGTATGGCATCGGTGATCGACGCTTCATCCGTACGCGTGCTGATGCCTCCAGCTCCCCGCGACCCAGGCTCGGGACAATGACCAAAACCAGAATACAGACCGACAGACGGACAGGCAGACAGACAGGAAGACGCCGTGCACGTCAGAGGTGCGATGGCAATATGGTGAAACGGAGATGACTGGGTCAGACCACGAGCGTGCTAGGCATGGTACCTGATGAGGAAGATGAGGAACAAAGGACTCTCTTATTCAGGAGTCCAGGGGGTCTTGGGAACAAAACCTGAACGAGAAACACATGGATTCTCGGGTGCCCCATGTTTATCCATGTCCATGTATGGTCCGTTGTGGGGTGGGGGAGTGAGCCGAAGATTGGACAAAACGTCGATCGCTGTGTAAGGAAAATGTGTACACGCTCTGTCAGGCAGGCAACTCCTGGATCGAAGCCATCTGGGCCAGATCAAGGGGATCCCTCAAGCCAGATGGAACCAGATAAAGCACCCCTGCTTGACCAGACTAGGCTGGATCGGGTTGGATAGAAAGTCAGACTGGGCCGAACTGGGCTGCATTAGCTCCATGGAACTGGGCTGCATTAGCTCCAAGGATATGCCAGGGCTGATGCTTAAGTCCAGCCTCCCTGGAATTGCACTCTGGATGGTGAAGCAAATGAGGAGGGATCCCCCTCACGGCTGCCCCCACCGTGAGACCCCGCGCGGACTGGCTCTATACTGATGAGTCCTACGCTCCTCGCCAGGCCTGCTGCGTGACGGCGCGACGGGCGTGCTCTAGCTTGTCCCGCTCTAGCTTGGCTCCGCGGTGTCGCCGCGCGCACGGCCGCGACGCCAAACATAGCAGATCGTGCGGGGAGCGGGATCAGATCATCGTGTTTCCGTCTCCTCCTCCTTCTGCCCTTCCTCCCTCCTCCTCACCATCCCTCCTTTATACCACTCCTCCTCGACCCCCCCCCTCGTCCCCTTCCATCCGGTTTTCCTTATCCGGCACCGTGCCCCTGGCACGTCGGGGCGTGCTAAGATGCCAAGTGCTGCCTGGTAGGGTGTTTGTAATCTTCTAAAGGCGCCCCCCCTCCAGTCGCACTTCGCTGCACCGGCCACCCTCCTGAGGCCACACTCCTTTGTAAAATGCGACAAGCCTGCGCTCCCGCTGCCAAACCCCTTGAAAACTGCCTGTACGACCACCCTTCGGGTGATATGGAGGTTCGCAGGGGGGGAGGGGGAAACCAACGTCTCACTCTATCGATTTCACATCGATCAAACGTTTGATCGATTTCACAATTGATCGCAGGATCCATCTCACAACAGATCTCAGCAGCGATATCACAATCGATCCCATTATCAATCTGGCAATCGGACTCACTGACGATCTCACAACCGATCTCACGATCGATATCACAGCAGATCTCACTACCGATCTCCCAATAGATCTCACGATCGATCTGACAACCGACCTCACTATCGATCTCACATTCAGACTCACTGTCGATCTCACGACAGTGCTCATGATCGGTCTGTGAATCGATCTCACAATCGCTCTCACTATCGATGTCACTTTCGGTCTCACCATCCATCTCCCAATCGATATCAGAATCAATTTCACTGTCGATCTCATTGTCGATCCCACTATAGATACGAGCGACCTCACCATCGGTCTCGCAACAGATTTCACTATCGATCTCACAACGGATCTCCCAATCGATCTCCCAAACGATCTCACGACAGATCTCACTGCCGATCTCAAGAATCGATATAGTCGACACCCCGCGTCACCGCGCGGGTGCGCTGGCGCAGTTGGACGCACTTCGACGGAAGTCGCGTTCGAACACAATTTGGTGGCAGAAACTGCGTCGCTGCTGGGCTAGCACAATGCTACTGCTGCGGTCGACGCTTGGAAGTGCCACGAGTCGATCTCACCAGGTGAAGTGATTGATGAAGCCAAGCATTAAGGTTTCCCGCTAAAGCTGGCTTGGATGGCCGTCGAGTACCATCGCCGGCCACTGGTTCTGACGGCCTTCGCTTCTTATTCCGCTCCCTCTCTCACGTAGCAGAAATCCGCCGACCCCAGAAGGCGTGTGCGACATCCTTCCTCGCTCGACACTGTCACCTTGCATTGCTCTGACGTGTCCTACTCCTTCCTGACCTCGACCCCAAACTCCAGGTTTTCACGTTCCACCGCAACCACCCGACAGTTTCTGGCCTGACACCCACCGATACCCCCCACCGCGCCCACCCACCTCGCCCGGTCGGCGAGGCCGAAAGCTAGGCTATGCTGCACGCGCTGGAGACGAGCCCGTCGGCCGTGTCCGTCGTCACTGCTTCGCTTGGTCTGGCCGGGGAAGGCCAGGGGCGGAGCCCTCGGGACGAAGGGCCTCAAAGAAAGCATGCTGCGACGTGTTGTGTTTTGTTATGATTCCTCTGGGAAAAAACATGCCGCTCAGTGCCCAGACGCTGCACCAAACAGGCCCAGGAACGAGCGAGGACCAACCTCGGCCACCGCCAATTAGCACCCCCGAGAGCATGCTGCGAGTTGGCGCCAGATCAGGTTGGTGGCCCTCAGTTGTGGAACCGCCCCGTCCACTCTTCATCGGTGCCCTGCCCATGTGCCCCTGGAAGAAACGTCGGTCCGAGCTCCTCTGGAGGGCCCTCCGTCTTTGTATGCCCTGGAAATGTTTGGGCCGATTTCTTCACTAAGTTGGGGGCGAACCAGGAGTGCGTGGGGCAGGGCAGTTCCGATGTGTTTCGCATGGCTCTCAATGAGTCCCAGTAGTTTGAGAAGTTCCTGGCTTTGGCGGTGAGGCGGGTGGTCGACCTCGGCGTGTGCAGCAAGTGGCCGTCCGATGTCGTCCGCCGTCCTGCTGCCAGGCCGCCTCCCACTGACCCTGCCTCCCCCCGATGCATGGCGCAGCTCGTCTCAGCAGGGATGGAGGTGCGAGGGGCGTGGCATCGCGACCAGGTCGCGACTCGGCCTCCGCCACCTCAGGTCCATCAGCGCGAAGCGCCTGCCCACGCAGCTGCAGGAGTCGCAGGCCGCGCGCGCCTTCTCCCGCCTCCCCGACTGGTGGCTGACGATCTCCGAGGCGGACCAGGCCGCCCCTGGCGCGGCTACAAGGGTCCTTGGGGGCCCTCTTGGGGACCCTGAGTACCCTGAGCCCCACTCTTGGGATGAGGGCGGGGATCTCGCGAAGTCTGTGGAGGGCACGTCTGGTGATGGGGGTTCGCGGGGCCCACGATGGCTGGTCTGAGGGCCCCGAGGGGCCTGAACAAGCCGACTGGGCCCTCTTCCACAGCCTTGGCCATCGGATGGCTGAGGCTGGCAAGTTCGCACTCTGTGAGCGGTGTGCGTGTCTTGTTGGGCGGTCTGGGCGGGCGTTGGCGCTCAAGGCCCCTTGACGGTTTGGGCGTTCTGGGCGGATGTTGGGCGGTCTGGGCGGATGTTGGCGGTCTGGGCGGGTGCTGGCGGTCGCGCGGGTGTTGGGCAGTCTGGGCGGGCGTTGGCCCCTCGGATATCCCCAAAACCCTCAGCGCCGACAAGGCCCGCTTCAAGAAATTGGGGCGTGGAGAGCAGCAGCCTCGACGAGAGGCTGGGGATACCGGATCCTGGCTGTGCTCAGATGGGGGGGGGGGTCCAAGATTTGCTTCCCAGCAGGGCGCGTTCGGACAAGTTGGACGCGTCTCCTCATTGGCCCGTCCCTCCTCCTTCCCAGCTCCCCCCTCCTCCCTCCGCGAGGCGGGGATCCCAGAACGGGCCGTCGGGCGAGGTGGCACGGGGTGTGCGCTCGGCCAGCGGCTCTGATCAGGCCCCTGTCCTTCTGCCGGACTCCGCTCGCCGCTCGCCTCTGCCACGCTCACCTCCCCGTGCCAGGGTCACGGCAAGGCCCTGGGCCTCGACAACGACGGGCCCCCGAGCCCCGCTGCCACGCGCGCGAACCGCTCGACCTCGAGCGCGTCCGCCGTCGGGGGGTCCCGAGCCGGGCGGACGCTAACGTGTGGCAAAGGAAGAGGGAGCGGTCGAGGGTTGCTGGCAAGTGGCCCAGAAAGGCCATGAGCTGCCGCCGCGGCCCGCCCCCACAAGGTGCTGGACCTGGAAATTCGCGCCTCTCTTCGCCCACCGATGATCCCCCCTTCTCTGCCGTCTGCCCAACCCCAGTGGGGGTGAAGGGGGAGGGGCTTCAGCCTCGTGCCGACGTTGCGCCAAAACCGCGACATCGCGACAAAAATCACGGCTGGAGCCAAATAGGAGCGCGATTCTTGCGATGACGGGCGTCATGGGGGCGGGCGGGGGGGAGGTATGACGTAACGCCCCTCCCCGCCGTGTGCTCTGGAACCACAGCCGCGCCCGCGCGCACGACGACGATGAGCGACGAGCGACGACGAAGACGACGCGAGCAGCATGTAGGTGGCGATCTGCCCCACAGCGCCTGTGTACACCACAATGCTCGCGTGCACCAGAGCGCGCGTGTACACCACAGCGCCTGCGTACACCGCAACACCCGTGTGCAACGCAGCGCATGTGTACACCACAGCGTATGTGTACACCGCAGCAACCATTTGCAACACAGCGCCCGTGTACACCACAATGTTTGCGTGCACCGCAGCGTCTGTGCACACCACAGCGCCTGTCTACACCACAGCATCCGCGTGCAACGCAGCGCTGGTGTACTCCACAGCCCCTGCGTGCAGAGGACAGGTAGACGGAGCATGTCGGTGAGGATCTGCTGCGGACAGCTAAATGCCACGCCAGGCAAGTGCTGATAATAGAGTGCGACGCTAAACCCTCCTTGCTTCTCCTCCACGTCCACCTCCTCCTCTTCCTCTTCCTCCACCTCCTCTTCCTCCCTCACACTTCCTCCCTGTCGGGCAGGTCGGCGCTACAGCGCCCGCGCGAATTTCAGCGTGCACCGCAGGATGGTCGATTGAATCAGTCCACTTGGTTCTCGGACAGCCAATTTACCTGGAGCCTCCTGAACGCGGATAGGAGGAGATAGGATGATGCGGGCGGAGTCGGGAGGACTCGTAGATTCCAGCGGCGCTCCTCTTTCCACAACGATTCCTTTCCAAATCCTGTATACAACAATTCTTTCATGTGGAATCCACAAGCGCTCCATTTTGTCATGAGGACTCTTTCTTAAATTATATATGCAGCAGTGGTGTTATGTTGCGCACGGTTGCTGTGGTGCACACAGGAGACGTGGTGTACAAAAGCGCTGTATCGGGGATCTGCTAACCCGGGTCAATCAGACCCGGGTCAACAAAAAACCCAAAAACTGCAATGCAACTTAAACAAATGCAACGCAGGGCTTCGCAAACCCGGGTCAACCAAAATGCGCGGCCGCCTCGCGGAAACGAGCGGCTCGCTAACCCGGGTCAGCCAGAGAGGGTCTACGCAACATCCTGCAGGATCCGGTGCCCTGGCTGACCCCCGTTTGCATCGACCCCCGTCTCTTGAGCCCCGACTGTAGTGCACGCAGGCATTGTGGTGTACACTGGTGCTGTGTTGTACATGACTGATGTGGTGTACGCGAGCGCTGTGGTGTACACAGGCGCTGTGGTGCCCGCAGGCACTGTGGCACACACTGGCGCTGTGCTTCACACGGCTGATGTGGTGTACATAGGGCGGCGTGGTGTACACAGGCGCTGTGGTGAGCGCAGGTACTGTGGTGTACACAGGCGTTGTAGTGCAGATCGCCACCGACATGCTGCTGCTACACGTTCTCGGCCATTACGAGGCATTCCCAAACGCCGCCGGCGCGAAACGTGATGTCCAGCCGCATCTGCGCGCACGCCGACGATGAGCGACGAGCGACGAGCGACAACGACGACGACGATACTGACGACGACGACGACGACGACAACGACGACAACGATGACGACGACGACGACGACGATGGAGACGACGACGACGACGACGACGACGACGACGACGACGACGACGACGACGACGACGACGACTGCGGAAAAAACTCCTATGCGCACGGCGGTAGTGCCAGAGCGCACTGGGGGGGGGGAGCGTTACGTCATGGGGGGGGGGCGCGGGGGCCGTGACACCCGTCATGCCCCAAGCAATAAAGAAACACGCTCTAGGCCCCATTCCTGCGGCATTTTGCGAGCCGGATCGGTCTGTGATGCTCCCAGAGCCAGAATCTCGCCCAGCGGCCGGAAACTGCAACGCCGACATCTCGCCCGCGCGGGCGCTGCCGCCGCGCCGAGGCGGCAACGACACATCCGCCACAGGCATGCCCGCGGGCGCTGGCGGGACTCTGGCCGCCTGCGCTTGCCCGCGGGCACCACCACGGGCCCCTGGGGAGTGGGCAGCGGCTCGAAGATGGAGGACTGGAACGACTGGGCGCCGCGCGGGCGCGCGCGCGCGCCCGCGCGGAGCCGCTGCTCATCGTCCTCGTCAATCTGATCTCCCATCCTTCTCCTTCTGTCTCCTCCTCCTCCTCCATCCTCCCCTGCCTCTCGCTCCTCCTCCCTGCAACTGCTCCTCCTCCCTCCCCCTCCATCCGCACCCCTCCCTGCGCCATTTTTTCTTTCATCCTCCCACCTCCTCCCTCCTGACTCCTCCTCTCCCCCCTTCTCCCTCCTCCCTTCTCCCTCGTCCCCTCCTCCTCCCTCCTCCTCCTCCTCCTCCTCCTCCTCCTCCTCCTCCTCCTCCTCCTCCTCCTGTCCATCCATCGTCCCTCCATCCTCCCTCCTCATCCTCCTCCTCATCCTCGTCCTCCTCCTGTTCCTCCTCATTCGCATCCTCCCTCCTCTCTGACGCACCTCCAGACCAGACGTGTCTGTAGGGCAAGCCGGCTGTGTCGCCTGAGAAGTCAGCACCCCTTCTCATCTGGAACTTGGAGTTCCACGGTTGGGGAGTCAAGTAGCGTTCTCGCTTTAGAGCAGCTCACATTGATCTCAAAAAGCTTGTAACAGTTACGCGAATGGAGGATCTCAAAAAGGCTTGCAACAGTTACACGAATGGGGCTTTCGCATAGGCGCCGCGCACGTGTCTTCTCAAAGCCTGGAACAAAAACATGTAGGTGGGGACGAGTTGTGTTCGAAATGGGGCTCTCGCCTGGGCGCCGCGCACATTCGTCTTAAAACATGCAGCACCTGCAAAGATGAAGAGTGGCTGGTTTTCAAATGTTGCTCTCGCTCGCCTCGGATGTCCCCAAGCTTAACGACCACAAGGCTGAACAAGTGTAGCAACTGCACGGTCTCGAAATGGGATTGTCGCGTTTGACCTCCTCAATGCTAGTGGCCAGCCGTGTAAACTTGTGCAACCAATGCACGGACGTGGGCGAGGTTCCTTTTCATAACGGGACTCTGCCTGGACACCTCGTTGAACTGCCTGAGATTACATGTTCGCGTGTCTCGGTAGAAAAAATGCAAGGCACATGATTCAAAACGGGGCTCTCGCCTGAATGACACGCCTATCGGGTGTTCCTCGCTGAGAGGGCAAATGATGTTGTAAAAAAGATCAGGGTGTGTTACAGCATCGTTGCTGCATCCTTGGTTTCCTCTGGTCCTCCTTCTCATCCTCCTCCTCCTCCTACTCTTCCTCCCTCTCCTCCTCCTCCTCCTCCTCCTCCTCCTCCTTTCCTCCTTCCTCCTCCTCCTAACTCCTCCTCCTCCTCCTCCTCCTCCTCCTCCTCCTCCTCCTCCTCCTCCTCCTCCTCCTCCTCCTCCCCTCCTCCCCCCTCCCCTTCACAATTACTCCATATGCTACTCTCCCTCTTCCCCTGATGACGGTTTGAAAGTGCTCGACCCCCCCCCCCCGCGTACTGTTTTTTACACACAGGTTTCCCCGGAGTTGGGTTTTCGCTTGCATGTTTTTCAAAATGCTGCTCTCGCTGAGGCGCCGGCCTCATTTTCGGGCCCCGCTCGTTCCGAATCGTGCTCCCGCTGCAGCGCTGGCCTCATTTCCGTGCTTCCGCTCGTTCCGAATCGTGCTCCCGCTGCAGCGCTGGCCTCATTTCCGCGCTTCCGCTCGTTTCGACTCGTGCTCCCGCTGCAGCGCTGGCGTCATTTCCCGTGCCATGCCGCGGCATGCAATGCAATGCTAGGTTGATACTACGCTTTGCGGTGCTCTTCTACGCCATTCCATGCCGTGCTCTACAATGCATCGCGTACCCTTTCGGGATCATTGCCCTGCTCGACATCCGACTGTGCGAGTACAGAGGGGATCTACGTCATGGTAAGGGCTGGGAGGGAGGGGTAGGATGTCAGATATGACGCGAGCGCACCTAGCGTGCCCCTCCCCCTCCCCCTCCCCCTCCCCCTTCCCCTCACCGCCCATTCTCCCCCCCTCCCAACCCTCGTCTCCCCCCCTCTACCTCCCAACCCCATTCTCCCCACCCACACCACCACCCCTCCCCCGCCCCCTCATCCCTCCTCCCCCCGCCCCGCCCCTCGCGTTCCCCATCCACCCCTCCCCCCTCCTGCCCCCCCTCGCGGCGCAAAGGGCCTGGGTGTACCGGGAGCGCGCCGCATTGCCCTGCATGGCGGCGCCTGGCCCCAGGGAGGCCGTGAGCTAAAGCAGAGAGGGAGGGAATACAGTGAGGAGAGAGAGGGCAGGAGTCTGAGAGAGGAGCGGGGAAGAAAGGGGGGGAGAGAAGAGGTCCCCAGAGCTACTCGGACGGGACGGACGGGACGAGTGGGACGGGAGGAAAGAAGAGCGAAGCTAGAGATCTCCAAAGGTCCCGATATAAGGTCCCCAAAAGACTTCGCAGGGACAGAAACGCTGCTGCTGCTCCTCCTCCTTCTCCTTCACCTCCTCCGCCACACGACGGCGGGGAAAGGAGGAAAACAGAACATTAAAAGGCGAAATGTTTTGAAGATGCTTGACAATTGTGCCGTTTCCGAGGGCGACCCCGTCGCCGCGGCTGGGTCCACCTCGCGAGACTAGTCAGAACGCACTCTAGGAACGGTCGTGGAGTGAAGGGGCCGAACAGTCTTACACCGTTCCTAAGTGCGTCGCTGAAAAGGGATTCCGCTGCGCTGATTATGATTGACATAGCGTGCCCAAAAGAACCTTATAATTGACCCTCCCAAAGGTGCACCTTGTGTTCCATGCTCTCATTTCCAACACGGGGAACTATTGAGCCTCAGACTGCGTCGTTGGCCCGCGGGTTGCAGCAACAACGGCTCCCGCTGAATACGTCCTCGCAAAGTTTTCAAACTACCGCTCTCGCGCTGGATCCCCTCACGACCGATCCAGGAATCGCGTTCTAGCGTCGGACGGCGTCCCAATTTATTGAGACGCCGCGCCCTCGACACTCAGGTATCACAGTCTCGCTCTACCACTCTTGCATTGACTAGTTTGTTGTTCAGCGGTTGGTGGATGGAGACTCGTCTTGCGAAGCTCGGCCTAGTGTGGCCACTACAAAACATGAGCCCGCAGTATTGACCCTGACAGGTTTTTTGAGAACACGGCTTACGCCCGTGACGGGACGTCCTCCCAAAAAGTCCCGTGCCTTTGGCAAGTCACTGTAATCTACAGTTGGTTGGAATGGCTTTCCTGCAGACCTCCACGACCTTTTGCAATCTAGCAAATGCCGCATCTCGTTAGGCCCAGCTGTCAACGAAGGACCTTCTCGTTCGGCATCAGATGGACCCAGATTTGCATGAAAGGCGGGGGCAGCTAATCTCGATTGTTCAGGTTCCTGTCGTGACGCGTTGCCGCGGCAACCCTCATACTACCTTCGCAGGCCGTCTTTGGAGGTACAGTACATGTCCATGCTTCTGCATTTGGCATTGCATCTGCGCCCCAAAGGTTTGAAACCCAACGCCTGTTTTTGCGCCTGCTAAGCGCGCCGACATCGTCGCAATCCTACATGAGGATCGCGCCCTAGAATGCGATCGGCGGTGCGAACAGGTCCGATGTCTCGCCGATTTACCTTGTCGTTGAACAGCTCGGCGAGATGGCCCCGTTCGCGGAAACGTCATCGTCGAAGGTTCGACATCAGCGCTGGCGCGACTGGGTTCTCGCCGAGACGCAACCAGGCCCGTCGGCTGCATTGCAGGCGCATCAGTTGGAAGCCGCCCCGGCAGCTCGTCAAGACGGACCCCGACCTGGACGGGTCTCCACAGAACCACATGTATTGTCGCGAGGAGTTGCGGCATGGTTTCTGGGGCGCGGAGAAGGCAGACGACCTGACAGGCCCCCCGCGTTCGCCGGCCGAGCAGTCGGAGCAGCCCACCCCCCAAACCCCGTCGAACTTGCGACAATTGTCAAAACAGCACAAAGAATGGACCGTAGTTGGATGTGACCGCGTTCACCCCGGCACCTCACGCACTCGCCCGACTCAGCACTCGGGGCTCTGGTAGTGCCATGGCGAGCCATGTTGCGCATGGGCCCGGTGGCGCCAATATTTGCTTATAGTCGATTATCCCCTGACCTGCTGCGGGAGATTGAACGGTCGCCGCGTTCTCGCCATCGGTTCGTCCTCGCACCAGGCGACTCCGACGGTCTCGGGGGCCCGTGGGACGCGCGGGAGTAGCTGCATGGAGCACCGGGAGACACGAGGTGCAACTAGGGAGCCCCGTGCAACATCAGAGCACGTTCTCTTTCCTTTCACGGGGGCCAGGGCGCGGCCGTCGCCCGCGCGCCAGGCGACCCAAGGGCCCCTGCGACACAACGGCGGCGCGCAAGGGAGGTGGGGCGGAGGCGCAGGAGGAGGAGAGCTGACAGATGCACGGCATGCACAACTCCTACTGTTCTTGCAGCCGAAAAGCCGACTGGCGCCAGTCCATGAACTTCCTCTTGTTCCTGGGAATCGCAGCGATTCGGGCACCGCAGACTTCCCCGGGAAACTGCTCCAGCAATCCCAAAGCTTCTGAGTCATACAGCCGGCGCAGCCACGCGAACACGTAGGCCTTGAAAACGCCCCTAGGAGAGGCCCCACGAAGGGGTTGTCATATCCTGATTCGCCCGCAGCTCTCCCCTGTCGCCCATGAAACTCTGCGGCTCGAGGCCGCCAGGGTAGCACTGGCACCGAGCTCGCTCGAAGTAGCGGGGGGCTGTGCTGACCACTACAGTCCATGGTCCACTGAGGAACCCATCTCTCGTTCCTGGGGATCAGCTTGACCTCGAAAACCGCCAGGTCGGAGTCCTCGGTCGGCTCGCCCGAGTAGGCGTGGACACTCGGAACCGCACTTGGCATTGCCCCCCCTCCCGCAAGGTACATCCTGACCGCGCGTTCTATAGCGCGTGCCAAAAGAAAAACTGCTTCGTCTGGATATTGCCGCACGCCCCCCTCGCCGCGGCAGTGCGAATCCAGAGCTCGGCAACGCAGGCGCCGTCTTCAACT